TTGAAGAGAAATTATATCTGGGGGCACGCGAACAAAAAAGTTTGAATACCACTGCTCTAGACAAAATGTGTTGGTGACATGAATTTACGAATTTAAATAAAGAAGCAACGTTATGAACTGTGGGGTATTTGAAGGGCGATATTACTGGAAAAGAGCTAATACGTGGAGCGAAATTTGGCTTTTGATTCAAGCGACTGCCAAGACAATCCACACACGCCTGAATTTCTCAGTGTCACGGAGCTCAGTAACGCATTCAGACCAATGGAGAGCATGGTATTACTGTATATTATTACACATAATTAATTCCAATGTTGTTTCAAATTATTTATACAACTCTTAGCCATGTTGGTATTCATTTGTATCAATCTGTCTTACCTATCGTCGTGTTCTGTTGTTGGATTGCCTCGCGCAGTTTGCGCGTGCGCACCTACTGTCGTGGCTCTGTACTTTCTTACGTAACGTCTTATGGTGCTGCCATCTATAAAATAACAAGTAACATGAATAAATACCGACACACCTACTTAAAAAGAGTACATAGATGGTTAAAAGCGACGTTGAAACAGACATCATAAACAAAATTAAATTACGGATAAATAACAATGTAGTAACGACAGTCTTGTTCAAAAATTAGCACTTCCGAAAACAAAAGAAGTCAGACGTCAGCTGAGGCTCGCATCAACCAGCAGAGAAAGGAAATAGCACAGTAATACAACGAAAACCAAGTATTGCAAGTTGATTGGGGTATGCACTCTGTATGCTGTCCTAAAAACATTGCTCCTTACTAAAAAATGTTCCCACTGTTGGAGAAATCTGCATATGTTATGCTGTGGCTACATGATTCGACTATTATAATATAAATTAAATTCTAAAAATTCATGAATGAGACTGAGCACTAGACAGTTAGAAAACTAACAGAGAATTAAGGGAATGGGCTTTATGTTACCGTTGCCAGAACAGTGGAAGATTCTTTCAGGCAGGTTTACTTTGTAAAGCTTTCTTCCAAATGCAACATAGAAGATTGCATAGCCATAGTCAATTTATTGGATGTTCAAATCATTTTAAAAGTTGTTTTTGAGAACTGCATTAATGATCTCGCCATAAGCCTTGATTGTTTATACGAACCAACAATTCTTTTCTTGCAGACTTCAACAGATGAGGAGGAATGGAATTCTGAAAGCGATTGTAGAAAAGTATTTGCCATTCGATGTTACAGACGACAGTATGAAGCCTCCAAAGAGCGTGGGCCTACAGAAAATGATGCCAATATTCATTTTGCATATAACAGGGGCCTTTGTTTCCATTCTGTCTCTACTAATTGAACTGCACGTACATAGATGGCATTTGCCTCGCCACGTTTCTTTCATCAACTGATACTACTGAAGAAGTTAAAACAAGAAATTTGCTGATAAAAGTGATTTTATTCTTTATAACCAAATACCGTCACTGCTCTCCGGCCCATTCAGGTAGACTGATGAGGTTACCAGGAGAGTTTGACGCACAGAATGAACTAATCAGATCGCAGAAGACAAAATACAATCGAATGGGGCTGTAACTTGTTCTGTACCACAGAAAACTTCCCTCAGTTAGCCAGAGTACAAATCACGTTACTATACGTCGAGCGAAACTGTTTAATTCGGTGCTCACGTGCGTTTTATGAAATCGCTTCTGACTAAATCATTTAATGTAATGAAATATGAACACATAATTTAATTTCAAAGGTCGCTATAAGCATGCACATTTCCACCTTTCTCATTCCTTACGCATCTGGCACCGACATTAGAGGTAACTGTTGTTAACGAGTTCATTTGGTCTTCATTCTTCCGAAATCTCACCAATATGAGGTATTTACAAAAGCTGAACGGCACAAATTATCATCACACGACAGTATTCAGCTCCAACAGAATAAACTTTGATCATGGCTTGTCACAGGATCTCTATGCATTAGAACATGTATGGTGTCACTATTAATACTTCTTACAGACGAACATAATGATACTGTTGTTTCTTTCAGCTTTGAAAACATTTCTCTGACTCTGACCACATTAAGTTAATCTATAATGAAAACTATTGTAAAGCTGTAAATTTATCAACACACAATAAATGTAAAAATTAATCTTTTTTTCGGTTTTAACCTCACAAACAAAAGTTTTGTAATAGCATGCATTCTTTTCAAACATATTTAAATCTTGTTCTAGAATATAATCAAGATTCTAGATTATATGTGTGGAAACTAACTACAGATATTTGAAGTCTAAAAACCAACAAATTTGTATATGACAAACAAAACATCACAAAATGACAGTACACAGAGTTACCACCAGAGGCGCTGGTATATAAGGTTCTTCGCTGTAAACGTGCTCAGTACTGAGAACTAAATACTTGTTTCTAAATGGGTTTGACTCTCCACTGAAGACGTGTACTAAACTTTTGTTTGAACAAGCGATGTTTACATAATTTATTAAGCATTTTCAAGCCCATATAAGCAGAGAAACAAAGAAACACATAATACAACTAATCCACAGACAATTTGTACTTTGTCTGTGTACAGTGGAAAATGTTTAAAAAAATCTTTATTAAAACATTATAAGCTGAAGACCCAGAGGTCCTGTATCATTTATATGAATTATGGAACAACTTTCAATACGTGTTCTGTACAAAGATTATAAAAATGTTTCACAATAAGACAAAGTATGTTTATCAAAATAGGGATATAAAACCATATGTGCATACATACAAGTATAAAGGAAAAATAAATATTTTTATGAGCACGTCTTAAAGACACAAGGATGACACTTTACAGAAATAAAACTGGAATTATTATTTTCTCCTTCATCCCTTGCTTTCTGCAAAGCTGCTGAAGTATATTACAATCTTGAAACAAGCAGATGTCATTACTAAAAGCAAAATATGTAACTAATTAAAGGAACACTTACTTTTAATATTTCATCATCAATCCCAAATCATAGCGAATAGTATTCACAATACAGCAGACTGAATATACACGTTGAAATTATATTTTTTAAAAGTTTACTTTAAACAGCACGAATAAATACGAAATTATTCATAAAAGTCACAAATATGTCATAAATTTCTTCGTAGTTTTAACATTTCTATTGCACACAGTAAACCTAAATATAAATTTTCAATGGAATATATAGTGTAAATACGTAGGAATTTGAAAGTCATACTGCAATTTTGATGCTTCACATTTTACTTGCAATTTATAACACACTACACAATTTAGTGTTAGTTGTGTTATGCTGCGTATGTGCGCATATTCATATGTGAGACACACATGGGTAAAAATCTAGTTTGGTTTCATATCTATATGTTATAGCTCATATTAAACATAGATTGTAAAAGAATTACAATAATTCACCTGTCCTACAAATTACAAGGAAATGTCTTTCATGTCAAATGAATAATCCTATTTAGATAGCGTTCCAACAGAATCCAAACAGAAAACAAGTAACTTTGTAAATGACAAACGAGAAGCTGAGAATAGGGAAAACTGGAGAGCTCTTTTTGGGCAGAACAATGGACCTGTCGTCAGACAGAACACTAAATAATAATAATAATAAACATGATCATGATGATGATTATTAATTATGGTTCACATTCATAAAAAACCCTCCATAGTTATCTGCATTACCCCAACTTAAAATATTTTCTTTTCTGTCAACAATACTGACTTAAGCGACTTTTAGCTGAAAAGTGTTGTTCAACATCATAACATAAACCAACAAATACATTAAATTAACATACGATGACATTTTCTCACTCAGAAAACATGCTTATTACCGGTGTTTGTTCCGTACACTTAGAGATTTTGCGAAACGATCAATAATATTTACAATTTCAAATTAATAAAATACTGTAGTCGCAAAGTTAATGTATCCAACACTGAAAAGAAAGTAACATTTCTACAACCGTTTACTTTCCAGTGTATTCAGTCAACATATTTTACATCGACATTTACAGTTTTTTACTTTATCTAATTTTCTTAACTACAGAGTGAAAAGAAATACATTTTCTAAGCTAAACAATCAAAGGCCGAAGGTTTCCGACGATGGCGCATGATAATACGGGGAACTGTTCTTTTCTTATTTAATCCATCATCTAAATTGTTAAATAATAAAACTAGGAGTTGGCTTCTGCTTCTGTTTTCAGTTAAAAAAAGGGGGCACACTTTTTACCTAAAGACAGAAGCATAACATAGCTTCTGAAGTTTTATTAATTTATATGATGGACAAAGTCCAAAAGAAGAATTTTATATATCAAACATATTCCTTGTAATAGCATGTTCCGAAGTTGATAATTTTTAGTACTAAAAATCTGTGACAGTAACTTCATCTTTCAGTCAGTATAAGAATAGCAGCAAATGCAGGTTTTACTTACTAAAACGCAAAACATTTTATTTATCTATACAGAAATATGGTAAATGCCCTCCCTTACCTTTTAGCTGAAGCACCTCCTTTCTCGAGATGGTTACGAGCGCATGGAAATGTCAGATTAAACCTATAATTTAACAGTTTTAATATATTAACTCTTTGAATTATTAACAACATTTTTAGTACACGTAGCCTTAACTTGAATAAAGTAGCGTGGCATAAAAAATAGCGCTCTAACAAAATAGAAAACAATCATTAGATCCTTGTATTAGCAAATGTTATCCTATCACGTAAACTCTATTCCGAAGAGTTTACTGCAAAGAGTATGACAGCCGACGGAGTGAAGCGGCACTGGTACAGAAAGCAAATCACAGTTCAGTTACTGTTTCACTCAGAAGTTGCGTACTTCCGTAACATTAACCGTACGCTGCTACAGGCAGCCAAGTCTGACAAGTAGCATTTTAACCTGTTAACTGGCAAGGTAATTTATATAAATATTCTTCTACATGTAATAAACATTGCTGTTATACACATTACCAAGATTTCAGGATAATACAGTGCGCCCACAAAGTTTTGAAAAATTGTGGCGCGCAAACAAATTGAGCAGATTACAGTGAAACTCTGGAAGATGGTGCTCCACCTCATTGCTGTCTGCAGGTACGTGCATACCTAGACAGGACATTTCCAGAAAGATGGATCGGCAGAGACGGTCCAATGCCTTGGCCTCCACGTTCACCAGACATAACACCACTGGATATTTTCCTGTGGGATTATGTCAAGAGCGATGTGTTCGGAACACCAGTTAATGGACTTGATGACCTGAAGACCCGTATCAGGAATGCGATCTCGGCTATTCCAGCGGACATGCTCCACAGAACGTGGCAAGAGCTCGAATATCGTCCGGACGTTCTCCGTGCTACCAAGGTAGCCTACATCGAGGTCTACTGAGGTCAGTAAAAAACTTCCAGAGGTTCACTGTAATCTGCCACAAACCGCATGTGGCTAGCTCAATTTGTTTGCGCGCCACAATTTTTCAAAATCCCGAAGGGACTTTGTGGACACACTGTACAATTAAACAAGTATATTAACACTGATATAGTATAAAAAATTCAGCCTCCTTATCTGAAAACATCACAGTAGTGAATAAAACAAACCTTTTCATACCCTAACAAAGAAAATTGTGGGTACAAGCAAAATACACAGTATTTACACAGCAAGATTTTCTCCTCGTGTAATAAATTCTATAATAATGCAATTCATACGTAACAACAGAATGAAATGGTCCCATCACCAAATTAAACCGCCACATTACAAACTGAGATTTCCAGTAGTCACAAATGTTAACACTTCAAGCTGGTGAACCAACTACTTGTTCACTTCATGTCGCAACAACCGAAAATTTTACGTACTAAACTGGGACAAGCAACCAACTGTCTAATCCCCGCGCTCGGAATAAGAGCTCTTCTGTAAGTAGACGAGAGTATTTGACAGACGAGGAAGAATACGAAAACCGTTTCTCACAACTTACATCATTTCACACTTCATTCATAAACAATAACACTTAGGCCTATTAATATTAATAGCCTCCCAGTTTTTTGACAGAAAGCAAAGGTATGTTTGACTCATACATAAGAAATTTTAGAGTCACACGAAGGATTTCTTAAATGTAAAATACACCACTTTCATGCAAAATTAAGTGTAAATATGTACACAGTTCCTACATTATTCAACAAGTGAGTAGAAGAATGAAGTTACATCCTGCATCATGAGCATATAACATTTTACAAAACCTTTCATCTTCAGCCAGTCAGAGAGAGAGAAGTAACTGATTTTGTATTATTTACATTTTTGCCATAAAATGTATCAATCTTACTCATTTTCTATTACTTTTCTTTAGTAAAGTTTGTCCCACTATACGCCATGTAGGCGTTTGGGGTGAGAGGAGGTATAGCTCCTCTCTTCCTTGACCTCGGCACTAGATGGGTGTGAGTGGTCAGCATCACGCCCCGGCCGGCTTTACCCCAGGGAAAGGACCCCGGTTCCCATTGGAGAGGAGGCTGGGTGGGCCCCAGAGCCGGTCTGGACGCAGAGGCTAGAGGAAAAATCCTCTGCCCCCGTCGGGGATCGAACCCCGGTCGTCCAGCCCGTAGCTAGTCACTGTACTGGCTGAGCTATCCCGGCTCATGTTACTTTTCTTTAGGTTCTACAAAAACCACAAAATTGAATTTCATAATGTTCATGTTCAACCACTGTTTTTGTGATGTGTGATGAGTTCACATTTTGTCCAAAATGTGTTCCTTTCTACTAAGCACCCATAAAAGTTTATTTAATTTTGCACTCCACATTCTCTTCCATCACATCGTACATTAAACTACAATATTACATACAATTAAATTTCAAAATTTGAATGTGACGGAACAATTTTTATTTTTAAATGTTATTTAATTAATACAATGAAAATATTTTGTTAAACTGAGTAAAAAATGTGCCAAAGAACTCAATTTGCAATTGTTAAGGTCAAAATCTTATTTTCAGAACAAAAATAAATTTATTTATTTATTACATACATACACACGCGCGCACACACACAAACAGAATGCCCCAAAAGATGGACACACAAAGTTAGTATTCCACATAACAAAACACATAAATATATACGCATGGGTTGAAAATAAAATAAAACAGTTCAAGGATCTCACGTGTTAACGCACTATTACTTCCAACAGGAAACAATTAGACGATGTTGGTTTTTGTAACTTTTAAACTTTTAACAAAGGGAAACAAACTACTCCAGTTAAAGTTATGCACAAAGCATCTCTTGGCTTAGCACATAAACAGACTCCTGGTAGTGATACAAAACAAGAGGAAGTTTAAATGATACCTCAGTCTCCAGGCACAAGCTTACGTCCCACGCGAAACCGTGAAATAAAATGGCAAGATAAAACAATACACAAATTCAAAAAAAATTGAATTTTGTTTTTACATATCTTTAAGCAAAATTCAATGTTCTTTCTGTGTTCTCATGCCTACACACAGAACAGCTGCTCGCAGGTTCAATGCAAAATATTCTCATAAACAAATCTTTGAAAAACAAGACATTCTTCATACACTGAGCTTTTTCATACCGTTGTACCACACACATACATTCATAAAGTCACACACAGAACAAAGCTCAAATGAATTATAAAACTTTGAAAGAATATAAATAAACCAATGCAAATGACAAAAATCATATTCCGTAAATGTGATTTGAATTTAAAGTACAGTGGAATCATAACTTCAATTCCATATTTTCTCATTAACATCAAATTTATACGGTTTCAACCAAATGATGATGGTGTTACGTTTATCCCATTCAAGGTTTAATTTAGTTTTCAAATGCACTGTCCCGAAGAGAACGTCAAATGAAAGTTTTTCTGTGATAGAAATGAGTTGAACAGTTGCGCTTTAACCCTTTCATATTCGGGGCTGTACAAACATCTGGAAAACCAAGTTCTGGTCTCAAGTCAAATTTAGTCCAATAAATTCCATGAATGTTAAAAAAGTCAAACTGGCCTAGAAAGAAGACGATTCTAACATTCTGAAAATCATGCTCCTGTTTAATATCAGAATGAGATTCACAGTTTTTAAACAAATAGTAATCATAAAAAAGTTGGTGTCATGTAAAAATATGTGAATCTCAGACGACTGACGGCATCAATCACAGTAGCATGTTCCTCTGGGTCTTCAAAATGATCAGTTTCCTCCATCTTCAGACGATTCATCTGCTTAACGTACTACTTAATAAAAACCAATAGCACAGGGCTAGTCTAAATGATGTTCCCGATTTGAAAGACATGCAACTCACGTTTAATGAAAGTCAGATGCACAAAATTGGTACCGATGGAAAGAGAAACTCTCCAAGTTTTGTTTCAGTGCATCACGGGTGTTCAATGTGAACCCCCTTGGTAACTCGGCACACATCCAGCCTGTAGTCGAGTTCCTCCCAGACACGTTGCAGCATATCATGATCGATTGCTGCAATGGCTGCTGTGATACGTGCTCGCAGATCAAGCAAGGTCTGTGGTAAGGGTGGCACGAATACTCTATCTTTGACGAACCCCCACAGAAAAAAATCACAGGGCGTCAGATCCGGTGAACGTGGAAATCCAGGACACAAAAGGCTCCCCTGTCTTCGATGGCAGCCATTTTCTCTCATATCGTCCCTGGCGGCGAACAGTGTTACTACACGCCCGAGAAGTATACCAACATAAACTTGGAGAGTTTCTCTTTCCATCAGTACCAATTTTGTGCATCTGAATTTCATTAAACGTCAGAAACATGTGTTTTAAATTGGGAACATAATTTAGACTAGCCCTGTATAGTATAATCTGCAGAGGTACAGATCACAGAGGAACAAGATAATACTTATTTACACTTTTGTTTCGCTTGCACAAAACAATTCCGTGTGATACAAACACAGAGAGAAATTAGTGTACACATTATACATTGGGTAAGCAAAATTCTACCATACAAGAAACTAAATATATATAAAAGTATAGATACAGTTCCTCCAATTTCAAATTCTCTCTTCCTTACACATTCCTCTCTCAAATTTTGGTATTCTGCCCAGCTTATTTTAATTTATACTAAATCAATCTCTTACGTTGTACAAGTCAGTCGATAACATGTAAACATGCGTACTATAAACCAGTGGTATTCAACCTGGGGTACGCGTAACCCGGGGGTACGTGAAATTTAAAAAAATATATATTATTTTATGATAAAAAATAATAATCAGTAATGTAATTCATTTAATTTATTTTATATGTAGATTATATACTATGTATAACTTGAATTATACACCAACAACTTTGGGGGTACAAAGTTGAAGAGAAATTATATCTGGGGGTACGCGAACAAAAAAGGTTGAATACCACTGCTATAAACAAGTAAGCCACTTAAACATTATTTTATTTATGCATAAGATCTTAACCTGTAATGTAGACTGAGATTCACATTCTGTTATAGAGTTACCAACCATTTGGTATCGTTCACTTCTCTCATATAGAAAGTGAAATTACCTGAAATAATTATTTTTTAATATTCTTCCTATCTGTTAATACCAGCCCTCAGACACGACCACACAGCACGTGCGCAATGGAGTCATGCTTACCTTCACAAGCATGAAAATACATTAGTTATGAAGATGTGCACTTTTTCAAACCAAACTGACTTACTGACCTATGAAAGTTCTAAGTCTTCTTTCTGACTATCATATTTACTCAATCATAACACACTGCCCCCTCCCCAGAAAAATTATTAATTCTTAAAATCAATTTCAATGAGCACATGGTCAGTGCCATACACTGTAACCATGCCACACTAAAACCCAAACCGAATAGCCAACCTAACATAATGAAAAACTAAAACTAACCTAATTTAATGAAAAGTGAACATAAATATGGGTTTGAGTTTTAATTTTACTTCATCCTTCAAAGACCATGCAGAACTATGAAACATTACCAACCAAATAAATTATTTTATGTTGGTTCTTCAGTTGCATTACGTTAGGTTGACACTCAAGTGAGGCGGTAGGATGGATTTTGCCAAAATGCTGCATGCACAGTGACTGGTTAACTGTAATTGGTCAGATGGGCCATATTGTTATTTAATTACAGATACGTGAAATTAACATCCGAGTCTGTTTCACTTAAAATACTACCTGGAACGATGAATGTTGACTCTACTTGCTTAATCATTAGACATCTCATACTACATAACCTTTTCAGAACCTTTTTTCATTACCTATATTTTATTTATTTTCAAGCATGTTATAATAATAATAATCCGTGGCGTAACAGCCCTCTGAGAGCCAAAGCCGACTAGCTGGCTGCTGGCCTCACATTCACATGCCTAAGCAGAGGTGAACGATCATCCAACCAGATATAGGGTGACGTGTGGTCAGCATGACAAACCCCCAGCCATCGCTAGTTTTCATGACCGGATTACGCTACCCATTGTAGCTCCCCAATTTCCTCACGATGCTGGGTTGGCACCGGTCCCATACACCGGTCGAAAGCTCATGAGAAAATTTCTTCTCCCCCGAGACTCGAACCAGAGCGCATTCCGTATCGCTGGTCCGAAGCATGATGCCTCAGACCGCGCGGCTACGGCGAGGGACCAAGCATGTTATACATGAGTAAATATGGTATATACATCCATGTTTAACTGTTCTCTTTTTCCAAATATCTGCTCCAAAGAAAACCAAGTTCATTTGAAGTTAAAACTTTCTTGAAGAACTGAAACATCAGTATTTGAAGGTGGCATAACCATGCTGTCTTTATGCTCTGTTCTGTTAGCAGTATTAAAGTTCTGGTTTAAACTTGTTCAGTGTGGTAAGTCATGAATAACCAGTGACGGGTCTCCTTTAAATTCATTCATTAATCAGCACTGTTAGAAAAAGATGAAAGTGGGAATATTGTTGGGCTGAGATGTTACATACTGCAAAACACTTGTCCATTACTAAGATTAGAAAAGAGTTAAAATTTCAAACTGTTTTGTTTCCAAATCAAAAATTATTTTACGAAAAGAATTTGTATAAAAATTTAATGACATAAACGTGCAGGTTCTGAAACCAATGATTTGGACATCTTTCATGATTTCAAAGACATACTATTTGTGTCACGTGGTTTAGTCAACCTGCATGTCCTTAGGACAAGTAACGGAGCAAGAGAGAACATGGCCACTGCTGTTGATAAACGTCCAGTTCCTTGTTTAGCGCTAGTTCAGAAAATATGTTTGTCAAGCATTTAATTTTATTAAAAAATTTGAGAGTCCAAATTTTCATTCAGCAAGGTCATTTTGAGTGATAACTTAACTGTTAGATTTTGTTTCATAAAAGTGATTTTATTCAAGTCCCCCCACCCCCCAAACACTGAAAATTCAAGAATCTCAAATAGCTTTCCTTATATGGGATTCATAAATGACCTGAAGGTTTATCTTTGTACATTTTAAATGCTCTGGAATTATCATTATTTTCACTGTCACTCCTAATATGTATGCTCAATACAAAAATAAGTCTGCACTCTGCAACAATTAAGACTTTTCTACCAATTTCCAAAGAATCTCTGGAGTTAAGATTAACACCATACAAGTTTAATTTGTCGACTTCCGGCTGGCACTAATCTATCTCTATCCCCCCTAATATCAATATTTACATCACAGTTTAACCCAGGAATCTTCCTACGAGTCACTAAACTGGAGCAGAGTTGACATAATGGGCCCCAAAATGGTTGTTTGACTGAAATTTCTCAACATTATGTTAACTGTCCATACTATCAACATACAATCACCCACCAAGACCAAGGCGTCTTTCTTACAGAGATTGAACTAAGGCCCTCTCTCTACTCATCAACAACCACTGTTCAAAATTTAGTTTATATGTGAGTTGGTAACCCTAGTTTGTAAACTTAAAAACTTTAAAAGGTAGCATAAAACACTTAAACAATATATTTTATGCCATTCTGTATTATATTTATTAAATCATGACAATATATCACTCTGGATCTTCACAAACGTATTGATATAGAACACACACCATAAAGTTGTTCAGCTTGACTAAGAAACAAATAATTTTAAATGTGAATCAATGACTTATTAGGCTAAAATTTGTCTGCTGTTTCATGATGTGATTCAAGCAACGTTTGACACCTTCACAACTTTCGGCTTTTTCCTTATGTCCAAATTGAAAGTTCTATGTAACAGAATCACCTTTTCCTTTCCATATCAATAAACCCTACAGTCAGTTTGCTGTGCAAAAATATTGGCAGTACCTGGCAGTCATATGCTGCTTCCATAACCACAACCTCCTGCACTCGCTACTTACCGTTCTCCTGTGGTACAAATATCTCTACCTGATCTGATGTGGCTCCAGCATCCCGCTTCTCCCGCATGGCCCTACGTCTTTCTTCCATCATCTTCCTACGGCCTTCTTCTCGAGCCTTGCGAGCTGCCTCACTGCTTGTAGAACTCTTGGTTGGAGCTGCAGAACTACGTTTTGTTCCACCTGCAACTCTTCGTTTTGGTATCCCATCTACCACATCCTTGACTCGAACCTTAGCCTGCACACACCACATTGAAACAAAAATATTCCTAAACATTTCAGTCATATCCGCAGAAGAAGCAATGTGCGCATGTGAATAACCTATACTTTAGCCAAAGTCCAGTAACTTCAGAGCAAACAGCTATTTCACACATGAACCAAAAACGTCAGCTATCTGTATTACAAATAATGTTCATTAAATACTTTATATTTTGGTCAATCATGGGTGTCAAAAAATTATTGTATGTGACATGGTATAATTTCAAGTAAAACAAACAAAAACCCAGAAAGTGGTATTTTTAACTAGCAACAAGCTAATAATTCTCGAGTCTTCATGACAAATATTGTCATCATCTGTTGAACCATTACTGTATAGAATATTACAACGGTAACACAGAACTGTTCTGGTTTTATTCTGAACATTCTACTATTTTCAGCTTTAATACACATTACCAATATATTGAAGATTTGTCTTCTGGGTTGTTGCGCTGTGTAGTCTGGTCGATGTTAACCAACGTTTCAGAGGTCATACTGCCTCCGTCATCAGGGCGATGAATAAGCCAATAGGGTGTGTGGGGCTAGGTTTATAGGTGCCGGAATGAGAATGGAGTAGCCTGCCCCGAGCCAATGGGAGCAGGCGTGGGAGTGGATCCTATTGGCATATTCATCGCCCTGATCACGGAGGCAGTATGGCCTCTGAGACGTTGGTAAACATCGATCAGACTACACAGCGCAACAACCCATAAGACAGAAATCTTCATACTCACCGCTGTGAAAACCTCAAATCTTACACACTTCATATCGACAAAGTCACAACTGCATCTGGGACTAACAAAGTGTAGGGATTATTTTTGGACATGAATATCATCACAAGTGTGTGCATGAATCTTGAACTACACCAACTGATGGGCATGCACAATCTGAAGCAGAATGATATTAAGTTTATAAAAATTAAAAGCACCAAAATAGAATAAATAAAATTTCAACCACTATGCATGTAACTACATATAAAAGTCATCAATTTAATTGTGAAATGTGTCAAATTCTGCACAACTATACAATTAATACAAAACATAATCAAAAAGTACAGACCTCAGCATGCATAACAAAGAACAGTGGTCCTATTTATTATTACGCTTTATACAGTGAAATATCATTACAATGAACTCCGATGACTTTCAATACGTGGTACAGCTGAAAAATTAAGTTCTAAAATAGCAAATGTTGATACATTTAAAAATTAAGTCTATTTTAAGAGTGTTTTATGTACAGTCAATGTAATGATGTCACACACACAAAAAATGTTTAGTTGTAATGAGAACACTACTTTATTACTTTCTGCTGGACGAACCAAATGGAACATTTTGTTCAATGGAATTTAATAAAACAAATTACTATGTGGGTAAACAGAGAACCACATTAGAATAAAAAATAATTTTGAAAAACAATATTTTATAACATAAGTGTTGACTGTAACAATATTTCACTGTACTTCCAAAACTACAGGATGCAAATTAAAAGGCAGAATTATAGCTAGAATAAGTGAAAGCTAGTAGTTCCAAACAAAAAAGTGTAAGCATGCTGACACAGATATTAAATCAGGGATGGCCACAATAAAGCTTAAAAATCATGTCTCTCTGTGAGTAAATCCTGAGATTGAACCATAACATGTGCACAATGAAATAATCACTTTTTATGATTCACTTTAAATGTTTATACTTTTGATGTTTACAAATCAGAAAACAACTTTATACCTTAGGCACTGATAATTACTTTTTTGCAACCCAATGCACTCAAAGAATGTTGTTTTGATAACACGCTTTGTATAAAAGACATAGAGAGAATGAAGAAATACAATATGAATTTTATAGATGAATGGTTCTATGAAGAATGAAGTGGTATGAACACGTGAAACGAATGGGAGAAGGGCGGATAGCACGACAAATGTTGGATATAACAGTGACTGGCACAAGACCAAGGGGAAGACCACGAAGAAGGTGGGAGGAGCAGATAAAACGAGGAGTGAAGGAGAGAGGTGCCCAGTGGCAGAAGGCGGAAGAGGAGGAGGGACAGGAAGAGATGGCGGGCCTTTACCGAGTGGACCCGGCCCCAGGCTGGAAACAACGATGGACGATGATGATGAGATGAATGGTTCTCCAATTCAGTATGACAAAATCTTTATTATACAGCAGCATGTTTCATTCAAATATACCTTTCAAAAAATACCACAACACTATTTGTGTTATATTTTCAGCTGATCTGAACCGCAATCACTACTTCTATGCCCCCATCTTAATCCCTTTAGTGCCTTAAATCACAGTGGTAACTATATGTACTACTTGCTTTAGAATTTGAATAATGCTTCACTTTACCAACAGAGTTTATTTGTGGGCTTCAAACAACTCTCAGGCCAAAGGGCAATTATTTCCCACTAAGCAATGACCAGCTTTGAAATTTATAACCACTGTGTTAACTTTGAGGTAATGACAAAATTTTTAAACATTATTAGGAACTTCATGTTGCAATATGTCACATGTTTACCATAGAAAAATGATTATGATATAAAATATGTGAATCACTGGGTTCTACACATATACTTGAGAAAGAATTATACAACCATATCTACAAACAGAAATAAAGTGACAGCAGGTATAAATAAAAATCAAAAATAAGGGCAACACATTATATTATTTTTAAATTATAGTAGGCATTTAAAATTAAATTCTGATTCAGAGCCTTCACATCTTTTATTTAAAGAAAGCAAAAAATGAAAATACTACGAGACAATTCTGAATTATCCTTCATATTTGGTTGTCTCCTAACTGGCCATCCCTTCGTTAAACAGTAGTAACAGAAGCAACATACCAAAGTGTCGAAGGAAGCATAGCAAAGCTTACCAGGCCCCTAGTCCAGGAGTTTAGGGCACCAGGGAAAACAACAGTGAGAGCCAATTAGCAGATTGGAAATGAGGCATAAACAAAGAACTGCATGACAAAACTGAAAAACTGTTAAGTGTAGGGACACATAATGCGCATTAGACGAGACTTTCAGAAATTCAACATTATTTACCTACTGGAAATTATATTATTGACCCATCAAATAATTAATGGAATGATAAAACTATTGTTCACAGTTAATCCTTTACTGCATCTAACATAGAAGAACATGTAACAAAATATAAGAATCTTGCACACTAACATACTAAAACATTGCAGCAATGTAATTTCAGGTGATTAGATGTGTGAAAACGAAGTTAATGTCCAATGACCCAACTGCCCATTTCACTGTACGTATTTATACTCTGGGGGTCCGCGGTGGCCGCGCGGTCTGAGGCGTGGGCCTTGTGCCGCTTGGTCGCTGGGACAGTGGGTTCGAATCCCACTCAAGCCATGGATGTTTGTCCGCGTTTTTCTGTGTTGTGCTGTCCTGTGTACAGGTAGAGGCCTTGCGACGGGCCGATCCCTCGTCCAAGGAGTCCTACCGAAAGTCTATAGATCAAGCCAACTAAAAAGTTGGGACCCGCAGTGCTCAGGCACTTGAAGAACGGGTCCCAAAATATACGGATTAAACAACATGGATAACACTGAACCCCAAGGGCTAATTGAGGGTGCAAATATAATGGTCAGGGGTCACTCACAAATCAACCTGTGAAGCAAAGCAGAGTCTCCAAAAACAATGGACATTAACTTCTCTCACACACAGCTGGTTATTTGAGAATACTTCGCTGCATTCAGTCAGTGTGAAAACTTCAATTCACAGGTAATAAAATACTGTATGGAGATGATATGACATTAAATTAAATAGTCTCAAGTTCACCATGACAGAGTAAATTCAAATGGTATGGCAAAGGAAAAATTAGTTGCAACAAGCAGGACATAAATATTCCAAACAAATGCACCAATAAGGAAACAAGCCAGTATTGAATACTGTTGTTAGTCATTTATCAGTGTCTCATAATAGAAATAATTTAATATTAATTCCAAGGAAAATGTTTGGGAGAAAGACGATCTCTGGAAACAATCTTAATTAGTGACACCCAATGACACACATCACACTTTATAAAAGAATACTAAAAGGAGAATTTTACTGCAATAACAAAGGCAGATACAAAATTATTAACAAGAAGCAGTGTATGTCATTATGTGAGATCATAAAATAAGAAGAAACATTACAGTTTATTTTTTTTAATTGAGAGAAATTAAGAATTAATTCACCTAAAATGCCAGGCCAGTTATCAACAGCTTAGTACAAAGCCTTTCTATGTGCAAGACCCCTACGTATTTATGTTTCGTTTCCAGAAAATTTAAAACTGAAAAACAGGAAATTTCTGGTAATGTGAGGAATGATTACAAAACAATGGGAATAACTTTCTAAGAATGTGTCAAAAAATTTTAGATTACAAACTGTTTGAAACAAAGAACGTCATGTAGATCATCTTAATGTCGTTACGAAATACCAAAATACTAATACATGTTTTTAAATATATGATTTTAACATGTTTGCTCTAACAAAAAAATGACTGCTTTTTAACTCAGATAATATTTAACAATTCCAGTAAAATAAAAACAAATAAAAAACTGAAGGCTACTACTTACCTCCACCCAATCAGCTGCTCTTAGAGCTGTGATCTCTTCAAACAGTTTGTTCACATGTTCAACTTGGAGCATAACCATATCCCAGAATCCTGCCAAATCTTCACTGGTTGTTGGGAACGGCTCTTCTGAACTCTGTGCCTGTCGGAATCAACACACAGCAAAGTCAAAACCCTAACCCAAATAGTGTTTCGGCACCGGACTGAAAACGATGGGCTTGGTTAGTGTTAAGTTCCAACAACAAATAATCCCAAATGCACCTCTCACAAAAACACTCATTATATCATCCTGCACTTGTTGCTTCACACATTCAGGGTAAAAACAATAATGTTATCAGCAGCCCCATTTCTGCTGCTGGACGGGATCCACAATATTACTCTGGCTCTGTAATTTGTTACGTTATTTTCCACCACAATTCTGGCTCTAATTTGTTACGTTATTTTCCACCACAACTATGGCTTGACACCAGACACCAGGGCTGAGTGGTTAGCACTCTTGTTCTGTATGTGTGAAGTCTCTGATTCAAATCTTGGCTTGGGTATTACTTGTCTTTACTGAGGTTCTGGTGGCTTTTGCTAATCCATACAAGAAAATGGTGGCTGTAGTACCTTCAATTAGACAGACATCTTTGCCCACTCATTATTCATCAATTACACTATCAGTTGACATTACAAAGCCTGACCTACTGAGAACATTTAGTTTCCTTTCTTTGTTTTACCGACAAATGACAAGATTTAAGAAGAATACCATTTAGTTTCCTTTCTTTGTTTTGTCGACAAATGACAAGATTTAAGAAGAATAAAAACAAAATAGAATGTTTTCAAGAAACAGTTAACAGAAGAATAGTTACTATGGAAAGTCA